GGGTCAGAATGTGGTGTAAGCCATTCTAAACCCCTATTCATTGCTTATGTGTCAATAGTGTTCCGAACCTCCTTCATCGAACCAAATTTTTGGCCCGTCTTAAACCCAGTAGTTGGACCCCATATTGACACCTTTGCCTGCTCCATGTCAGCATCAACATACGAATTTTCATGTATTACGGGATAGGCATACTGTCACGAGACACCTCCTCATCATCTGAGCCTAAATCAGCAACACCTTCAAGAGAGTCGAAGCTTTCTGCACTGACGTTGCCTTCCTCTTCTTCATCTTCACATTCACTAACTCAAGCTGGCGAAACATATTCCATCTCATCTAGATCATTTAGGGCACCATCTTCAGCTCCTTAATGATAGTTGTGATAACTACCGTTGCCTGCATGGAAGTTGTACTCGGGTTGTTACTAGTAGCCTTCTCGTTGGTTTTCTTGGTTACGGTGGGATTTTTGTTCATACGATGAGAAAGGTTGATGATGATGGCCTCCACCTTCTTGTTGGAACTCATGGTACTATTGGGCTTCTTCTTTATATGATGGGAAGGATTGATGATGATGACTCCACCTCCTTCTTGGTACTCATGCTAGGATTGATGACCATGGTAGCCTTGGTAGGGATGCTCTTCATATACTACACCCCCACCGTGAATACCAGATGTTTGGCCACCTCCAAGATGAACTCCACCGCCTTCAACCTCCTCGGTGTAAACAAAAATCTCTACTTTGTAAATGTTATTGACATTCAGAAAATCGAGCATGGCATCAACTTCCTACTGACCTTCACTTTATGAAAATCATAACCTACGTAACCTCCATGCAAGTAACCGTAATACACATATAACAGAGCTCTTGAAGGTTCTCTCGTGTATCAACCTTCACTTTATGAAAATCATAACCTACGTAACATACTCCCTTTCCAGTATCTTCCATGTAACCATTTCACCATATCAAAAGTGTGAACTTTTGGCAGACCATCTGCAATAAAACAGTTGGGAGAAGAACATAAATTAGAGGAAGAAGGAGAGAAAGTAGTGAAGAAGGAAGAGTTGGGGTGAAGGGTGTTGCCTTTTGCAGGAAAACTGGGGCTTAAAAACTGCTAGTGGGTGTGGCGGTTTTTAGGCAACATTCAAACTTCACGGCTGTCAACCCCTGCATGCCGACATGTTAGTTGTCGGGGGGATAGGGATACCACGTAAACCGCAGGATCCCTCAGCAGTTCTATTTTGGCAAACCATACCACTAGGGGTTGCGGTGGTTTGTCTAGGTCAGCCAAAGAACCGCAGGGGGGGGGTCCTGCGGTTCTGTATAAGTCAGCCAGAGAATCGCAGGAGGGTCATGCGTTTCTATCTAGGTCAGTAAGAGAACCACAGCTAGCCCCTGCGGTGATTTCAAAAAATGAAAACCGCAGCACCCCCTACGGTCCTCGTTTTAACCGCCATGGGGGGATGCGGTCATTGTGAAAGGGTGGTATGAATGTAATTTTTTGAAGGAGATGTACTAACTTAAAAAGGAGATGTACTAATTAACGCCCTAACTTTTTAAAAATTTTGCCATAATTTAGGCAAGTTGACGTTTTTCCCCCCAAAAATCCCAAACTCTAACCAAATTCATGACCATAATTTTGCTCTGCTCCAGCTGTGAGCTGCTCTATAAATCATCGCCGCCGTTCTCCCTGGAAGGATTCCTTGCAGAGCTGTCAGTCGAGAAGAATCATCGTTGTCGTTCGCGCTGGAAGGGATTCTCACAGAGCTGTTAACCGCTGAGAAGAATCATCGTCGTCGCCCTAGAAATCATCGTCGTCGTTCGCCCTGGAAGGGATTCCTCGCGGAGGCGTCAGTTGCCTCACGAGAAAAAGAAATCATCGGCGTCGGCCTAGAAATCATCGTTGTCGTTCGCCAAGGAAGGGATTCCTCGCACCATGCATGCTCGGTGCGTCGATTGAGGATGCAGAAAGAATCCCCCTGCCATGCTTGCTCGGTGCGCCGATCGAGTTCATTCGTTTGTTGAGCGATTGTGAGGATGATGAAGGAATAGGGCTGCAAATGAGCCGAGCTGAGCCGAGTTTTACCCCAGCTTGATCTTGACTCGTTAACAAATGAGCTGAGCTCGAGCTCGAGCCATTTATTAATGAGCCGAGTCAAGTCGAGTTCGAGTTAAGCTTGTTTACTAAATTCTTAGATTGTATTTGATACATTCATTTTGTATGTCGTGTATGGTACATGTGATTGATGTAACGATTAAAATAATAATCAAATGTTCAACATTAATTAATCTTATATTATAATTTGTAGGTATCATATTGTTTAAGTAATAAATTTTAACTAGTTCAAATCATGTTATTTCATAGTATCGAAACATGTTTGTACATAATTTCTTTATAGAATTAAAAATAAGGCATATTTTCTTACATGTTCAACATGTTAAACTTCACATGATGTGAGATATATAATTTAGCAATCCTATGAATTATGAAAGTCCAAATTAAATCGATTCGTCCATAAGTCTGTGATCAAGTTGGCCTTCAAACCACAATGTTGAGACATCTCATGAGCTCTAAATGAGCCAACTCACGAGTTGAGCTCAACAAGCCACCGAGTCGAGCTAGCTCGCGAGCTTCGCTAGCTGAACAAAGCTAAGCTCAAGCTTGGTTCGTTAGTAAACGAGTCGAGTTTCGAATGAGTTTTTCGGGATTCCAGTCTCGAGTTGCTCGCGAGTAGCTCGGCTTATTTGCAGCCCTAGGAAGGAAGCGCCCCGCCCGGGTCAAGAATGGTTGGAAGTGTAGGAATCAGTTGGGTTGGGTCTGATCTGGTTGGACGTTTGGATCTGGTCTGGTCGAACAATAATTAACAAAATTAAATAATTAAATAATTCCTCAAATGAAAAGGACATTGCATTTATTTAATTTAATTATTTAGTAGTTGTAGGCATTGTTAAAGTAGTATTATGTTTCCTAGTTAGCGTAGGATTTGTTTTTCTATTCCTAGAAGGTTGGTTTCATGTTTTTGCAACCTCTATAAATAGAGGATGTAAGACCTACTAATTTTACAGAACAAGAATAAAGACGTCTAATCGAAGATTATCAAGTTTGATTAAGGATATTTCATTTGGAGTTTATTATGAGTAATTTGGTAAGTACACTATTTGTTTATTGTATGATAGTTCCATTATTCTACCATAATTCTTGCACGACTAATCCTTATATGTTTTTACAATATTTAATTGTAGGGAGATATTGGAGATGATGAGGGTGAAAATTTTGATTACACATCATTGTTCATAAGCAATGTTGTTTATGATACCCATGCCGAAGCTTGTGCGGCGACAAAGGAGATTGCCCAAATAAATAGGTTTTTCTTGGTTGTGGGATCAATCAAGTGAAACCCTGGAGAAGACTACCAGTGGATATATATGGATTGTAACCATGGTGATAGAAGCAAATCATATACCCCAAATTTGGCGAAGATAAGACGGGTCAAATCAAAATCAGGCAAACAAGGTTGTCAGTTTCGAGTGCTAGTACGGGGTTCATTGGTAGAGGGCAAATGTTAGTGGAGAATTTTGGGTCGATGGATAAGGGAAGTCCAGGAGATATCACAATAAAAAATTGGAGTTTTATTCTAAAGGAGGGCAAGCAAAGGAATGCTTTTCAAAGGAGAAAAAAATGAAATTAAGAAGTTGGAGGCAACACATACTTAGGAGAGAGATATAAGAAGTTTTATAAATATGAAGTATGATGCTCATCACAACATGGATCAGGTTTATAATGAGACAGCAAAGATTAGGCGTGAGAGATTGGGTGGCCTTTACTCTATGCGGTGGACATTCATAGAAGATTACTGTCTTGGGTACTTTCATTGGGGTTGATTTTGATGATGACCATCGTCTTACTAGACTCTTCATTTGCCATTCAGAGTCTATTAGGATGTTGAACGCATGGTATTTTGTTATTTTGATGGACTCGACGTAAAAGACCAACAAGTATAAGAAACCACTGGTTCAGTTGATCGGTGTTAATCCGGTGAAGTAGAACTTCAACATAGGGTTCACATTGGTTTCAGACGAGACAAATGAGACATATGCTTGGGTTTTGTCGCAATTGAAGAATGTTCTTGGTGGTCGAAGACCATATGTTTCATCGCCGATAAGGAGGAAGGATTGGGTGTCTCCGTGCGTGAGATATTTCCATCTTCATCTCCTTTACTATGTGTGTGTCACATAAAGAAGAACATTGAAGCCAAGATGATGTCTCTCGAGATAAGTCGAGAATCTGCAGAGGCGTTTGTAGCAGGGCATTGGCAGAGACTCATGAATGCCAACACTCAGGGAGGGTTCCAACGGTGTTGGCCAAACTTGAAAACTAGTCATTGGGGTAAAATCCCACGCTTCATGAACTACTTCAAAGGTAAGTGGATACCATGTGCGCAAAGGTGGGCTCATTGCTACACCAATCGTGTTTTCCATATTGGTAACACGAGCACAAATAGGGTAGAGTCAACTCATTCGTCCTTGAAGAAATGGCTTGCCAGTTCGACCCCCAAAATCGACACTTTCTTTCTCATATATCACACATCCATTGAGGGAAAAGTGATTGAACTAAGAAAGCACTTAGAGAATTCGCGTTTGAAGGGATGTGTAGTTTTTCCCCGTATACTCAATTTGATTTTTACTTAGACATTTGTTCTTTGACATATGTATTTTAATTAGTTGACGGTCCGGCATATGGTCACTTGAATATGGAATTAAGCTTGTGGGCAATGAGTTGTTGATGAAAGAACGAGCAAGAGAAATTTTTGAGCGATGTGGATGTCGGCTGCATGAGACACACGGTCTACCATGTAAATGAAAGATGGATACACTTAGTGATGCCAACGTGGAGTTACACCCACACCACTTACATTGATTATGGTCATCTTTGGTGTATGAGTGTCCTCTTGATGATACAAAATAGGAGGACCATGATGCCATTGAGTGTGACATTTTTGCAACCATGGTGGAGGATGTGTACAAGCAAGGACCAACTGCTGTCCAGAAGGCATCTCAATTACTACTCCCTCATATTCTTCCACAAGTTGCAGGCCTACTAGAGCCTAGGGAGTCAGAGGCTCCAAAGGGACAACCACCAAAGAGGTCGGACACTAGAGATCTTTCTTGGTTTGAGCATTGGAGGAAACTGTTGACAAAAAGGAGCAAAACAAATCAAAACACGAGAAGGACACACCAGACGACTCCTGCAGGTTAGAAAAATTCTTATCTTTTTGGTGTAATCATACTCCTTGGAATGTAGCCGTTTACATCAGTTTTATTTTGTCATAATAGGAGGTGTCTCGAAAAGTCAGCATATGTAAGTCCACAATGAGAGAAATGTTTGTCCTTATCTCCGCTACATCCCACCTAGAGTCCATCCTCTTGTTAGAGATTGGTTTGACCTAGAACCATACAGACAATGTGACCATGTCACATGCGATTTATGGAGAAGAGTAAATCTAATTACAAATGAGGCAAAATCTTATCACAGAAATCAATAATCATTGGCTATCTACAAGGGGGTTTATCTTTACAGAGATGGATCATTGGAGGCAATAAGTCACAGGTTGGATCACCGGACCCCTGTGAGTTGCACCCAACTGTATGGGTTTGAGGACGTGGATTTGATGACTTTTGCAATCTTGTACAACTGTGCAATTGTTGTCTATAGACTGTATAATGAGCGACACACGTATGAGTATATCGTCTTACCTTTGACACCGCCGGAGGGGGTCACTCAACCTAGTTAAGTTATGAAAATATTTTTTTTACTAGGGCACATTGGCTGCGACTATATGTCGAGGAAATTGATGGGGTGACACCAATGCCTTCTTTTAGTCCACAGTGGTCTCAATTTGGGGATATGCTAAGAGTTGATGATTGGGATTCGTTATACGAGCCACAAATGCAATTGTATGTCATTCTCGGAGGACATTATCAAGCCGATGAGAATGACGAGAGTGATTAACCATTGTTGCATTATATTTTCTTTTATAATTGAACATTATGTCAGATTAGTTATGGATTGACCTCTGTGTCATTATCAAGTGATTATTATTTGAAATCTTTTAGATATGAAGAGGATTGTAATTATCCCTTTTCGGGTAGAATCATATTGTCTTTAAGCTCTAATTATAAATATTATTTACTAATCATATAATTTAAACATTGATTATAGTAATTCATCACTAATCATCATTACTACTCCATTTCATGTCCTGCTTTAAACTCTCACTCTCTCTTTGTCGTGTCCTGGATAAACACGTCTCAAGATTTTGGTGGGGAGTAGAAGCTGGTCGACCTCGAGTTCGCTGGATTTCCTGACGCAATCTATGCACGAGCAAACATGATGGGGGGATGGGGTTCCGGCGTTTTGAGCATTTCAATCAAGCACTCTTGGCTAAGCTCGGATGGTGTATTCTTAATGAGCCGGACTCTCTCTTGGCCGAGATCTATAAGGGTAAATATTTCCCCAATGGTCATTTCCGAACAGCTACTGTTCGTTCTCGCCCTTCGTGGGGTTGGCAAAGTATTCTCCATGGGTGCACTGTCCTCCAACGAGGACTTCGAAGGCAGATTGGAAATAGGGCCCTAGCCTCTATTCATCATTCAAGTTGGGTGCCAGCTACCCACCCACATCCCCCTATGTGTTTTCCACATGTCACTCTAGAGGGGGCTGACCCGAAGGTAGTGGATCTTATTGATCATGTAAGGGGAGGATGGTGCATCCAATCGCTTTAGGAGAGGTTTCCATCGGAGGTGGTTCGTGCGATATTGGCGATTCCCTTTCCTATTATGGGTATGGAGGATAGGTTGATATAGCATGATACGAGTGATGACGTGTTTTCTGTTAAGTCAACATATCACCTGGCGGTGTTGGTTGATAGGCAGGATGGTGTTTAGCACCCCATGGTGAGCTGGATGGATAGGACGAGCTGGATGAGAATGTAGGCCCCCAAGATTCCACCTAAGCTAAAGTTATTCCCATAACAAATCTTTCATTGTATCTTACCTACGACGGATGCACTAATTTAGAAAAGGGTCCAGGTGTTGCCTAGGTGTCCGATGTGTTGGGCGGAGTCTGAAATGATGGAGCACCTATTTTGGGAGTGTCGAGTCGTTGCAGCTCTCTGGATTTATTCGGGCTTGGAGCACCTGGGTCATGGTTTGCCGCGATAGACCTTTCCTTTCTTCCTCAAGAAGTGTTTGCTTAGCATGACTCAGTCGGCTCAAATCATGGCTCTGGTAGCCCTCTTGTGGCGTATTTAGAAATCTCATAACTTGGCAGCCTTTGAGGGCAAGGAGTTCACGATTCCTCATTTAATGCATCAGTGTCAACAACAGCTTCATGAATGGGTATTCCTCACTTAAATATTTGTATACATATATATATAATCATCATCAATAATATTAATTGTACAACCAGACCAAATCAAAATGTCCAACCAGATCAAATCTAAATGTCCAACCAGAATAGACCCAACCCGATTGATTCTTGCAACTTCACCCGGCGGGGCGGTTCCTTCTTCCCCCTCACCATCGCTCGGCAGCAGCATAAACGATTGCAGGTATGGTCGACGGGTCCTCGATTATGTTGTCTTTCCATCATCTTAGCAATCTCAACCGTCACATCCGGCCGCAGCACTTCCGTTGTTCCGACAAGCCCCACTGTTTCTCGGGAAATGTTGCAGTACTCTTACGATGACCCGATACTTTATCCATGACCTCGGTCACTTCAGCTTCTCCAATCTTCCCCATGACGAACGACGGAGACATAGGAAGAATCCCTAGGCAGTTGCGGCAGGGACAAACGAGAACTTCGAGGGCGAATAGTGGCGACGGGGGAAGAGCTAGAGGGTTCGGGACCGACCTTCTCTCTCCTTCGTCAATGGCGATCGACCTTCTCGCTCCTTCCTCAACAGCGGTGGGCAGAGCAACAACAAAAGTGGAGAAGAGTTGTTTCGTGAACCAGATATTCACAATTCCGGATTATGGTGATGGAGCAAAGTGTTATAAAAATCTGATCTGACAATACATATATGGAGATTCCTCTCCACAATTCACTTAATTCACTTTTTCCAGCCACCTGCGCAGAGAACGGAAGGACCGATTGGTCTTTTTCTTTAATCCAAATGGGCTAGCCTCTAAATATTTTCAGGCACATGGCAGAAACAAGTGTAATGGGCCTCAACTTATTCAAGGTGGAATTATTTAAATGGATCTAGGTGGATGAGAGAGACCTTAGCTCAAATTCTTGGTAAAAATTTATGTTTCATATATAATAAAAATTTGAAATTAGTATGTATATATGTGATACACAATTGATGTATATGTTGCAACTGTGGGAGCTGTGAAATCACTTTGTTTATTAATTACTATGAAGTAAGGATTGTAATACTGTACCGGAGGTCGTATTGAAAAAGTCAGTAGTAAGGTATTTTATGCTAAAACTGTAGTTCAACCATTTCATACCGCTAAATACAGCGGCGGATCCAGAACACAGTAGAGCACTGGGCCGCATTTCAATATAATATTATATATATCGTAAACAAAAATAGTCAATATTTTTAAATTTTAGTACTTCAAATAAAAAAATAGTTACAAGATTACCAACGATAACAGACAAATGACTAATATTTTGATGTGTTACAAAATATTTAGCTAATATTTTGTATTTCGAAAGGTTTGGCTAATAATTTGGAAAGTCTAAAAGGTTTAACTAATAAATTGTATTTACTCAAAATTAGTTTTCACATATTTCATTGCTTAAAATGTTCTCTCCATGGTAGCCGTTGAAACTGGCAAGGTCAACACTAGACGAATCAACCCACAAATCAATTTGTTTAGAGGGTTTTCTGATTTCAATGAAACTTTATACATTCTTTTACATTTTAGACTTTTAGGTTTTATTGTTTTTTTTTCAAATGAAAATCATTTGGGCTAGAATTCCTAAACTAAATTGAGAGTAATGATTTGCATATATTCATCTATACTATTTTTCTAACTACACAAAATTATTACCAAATAACACTCGACCGACCATTAAATAATACTAGGCCGAATACCTAAATCGAAAAATTTATAAGCTCTATACTAGCTCTGGATCCGGCGGAGGGCTGGGCCGTGGCCTAGGTTGGCCCAGCCCTAGATCCGCCGATGGCTAAATATCGCCTGTAGGTTTTGCTTCAGGTAGAGGAATCTTCAGATAGAGCCGTTTATGCGCTAGAGATATATAATATGTTAATTTAGGAGTGAATTTATCACTACACATAAAAAATTTCAAATTCATATCATCTATCACAAAAAAGATATTCTAACCAATGCAGTCGAAAGCGTGATTCTACCTAGAAGCGGAGAAGGGGTAAACTCGTAAAGCATAGAATCAAAGCGTAAAAGCGTAAGTTTTTTACGCATACTGGAAAATAACTAAAAATGTATTAAGTAGGACATATGCTATGCAAAATATGAATGCACAGAATTTAAATAAATCAATAAATACATGTGATTCATGCCTAAAGTAGAACAACTTATAGCATCTTAATAATAAGTTTGTAAACATAAATTTTAACAATAAGCCACTTTTCCCACTATGCTAATGAATTTGGGAAAAGCCTAACGGGTGAATTAGATTACTCTATCGAAGTTGAGAATGCATACAAGTACCTTATATGTATCTTTTAATCTCAAATGTATCATATTATTGGTGATTTACTTTTAAAATATACTTTTTATAATTAATTTCATGAAAAGAATACTCATTTAGTGAACTAAAAGCGTAAAAACGTAAAGCGTTTTGGAGAACTAGAAGCGTAAAATCGTAAGCTTTTAAGCTTTAAAGCGCAATTTAGTCCGTTTTTATATACTGAAGTTTTTATATGGAAACGAAAGCGTTTTGGTGACCTAAAAGCGTAAAATCGTAAGTTTTTTAGTTTTAAAACGCGATTTTGACTGCATTGATTCTAACAAAACATTCAAATTATCTCACAAAATAAATCATCTTTTTTTTTTGTTAAATTCAAGTCAATAATAGAGTGACACTCCATAGTGAACCAGATAAATCCGACAAGGAGGATGAGAAATGAAAAAAATGAAGTATGAATAAAATTAGTGATTGATAATGGATGTTTTTAGTTTACGTTAACGTACTTTTTTAAATTTTTTGTGGTTAAAGTGGATCAGTTAAACCAGGTCATTTGGTTTCATGTCAAAACATTAAAAATCGTTCGGTACGGGAAAGTTACGTATAAAATACGTACAGATATTTTACTTTGTCTCTATGTTAATGTTACGTTTAATAGTATGTTAATACTTAATAGTCATAAATATATAAAATAAATTATTTAAAAATAAATATATATACAAATAATGGTGAAGTTAATAATTTAATTCATTAAATATGGATATTAAACGTGTTATATGGGTTTTATACATGTTTAATACGAGAGCCATAAAATGAACGGACAAAAATGAAACGGCTTGACAATAATACAGATACAGAAATTTTAAACGGATAAAGTACGTACGAGTACATATACGTGTGTATTAAACGGAGTATTTACTAACTATGATTCTACTGACCCAACCATTGATCCAATTTGGTACTTATATCAAGAAAAATTATAAAGACTCTTTGAAGCCTAAAGTAAATGAATAAGAAAATATTTAAAAATTTAAAAAGTTTAACTCATCAGTTCATTCCAAAATTTATACGGCACACAAATAATGGAATTTTTTAATTGAATAGGAATACAAAATAAAAATGGTATTACCTTGCAATTGCATTCTCGCTATACCCACCGTAACTTTAAAATATTGCTACCGACAATAGTGCATAAAGGCGGGATACATAATTCTACACAACAACTAACTCTCACCCGACTACAATATAATTCATGGATCAGAGACACCCAATTGCTCCCTCTCAACACATCATGTCCTTCCCAGTTGATTATACGAGCTTATGAATTATTTCATGTATTCTTTCTTTCATGAGGACTGCAATTGTCACTGCTCTTTCACTTTTACTCGCAAGTCCTTATTCAGACGTCGTTCATGTTTTACTAAATTTAGTTTATTTTTTTACTCACTACCCAATTGCCATTGCCTCCGTACTAATATGTTATTATGTATTGGTAGTAGAAAATTAATCTTTTCATTTCACATGTATTCATGATTGTGGGAGGATTAAATTGTATTTAAGTGTTAAAATTATTCAATCTTTGCTTCTATATTTATTTTCTAAATTTTACTACTATGTATGTTAAAATTATTCAATCTTTGCCTCCGTACTAATATGTTATTATGTATTGGTAGTAGAAAATTAATCTTTTCATTTCACATGTATTCATGATTGTGGGAGGATTAAATTGTATTTAAGTGTTAAAATTATTCAATCTTTGCTTCTATATTTATTTTCTAAATTTTACTACCAATATAATATTCATTGTTATATATGTCAATATTCTTATTTTAGAAAGAGCTAATCTGTAATTTTTAATCACATGCTCAGGCATCACGATTGAGCTTATTACATATTTTGTGAGTTAATTTGATATCTATTGTGAAACAAAAAAAAATTGTTTGACTGTTATTTTACTTGGAGGATAGTGAATAAGCAATGCGATGTCAGGTTTCGAGGAAGTGGATGTCAATCAATCCCAAGACATATATTATTCATTGCCTCGATATATTGACTCATAGTGTAAACTAACAACAACCACACAAATTCAAATGTATGATTCAAATTTGGAAAATTTATTAATATTCATACTTTTTTCTTCATGATAATGATATTATAGTGCAAATTCCCAAAGGAAAAATCAAGTACTTTCGGCCCCATTTCATGGCCAGAGAGTTTGCACTATCAAGACTTTATGGCCAATATGAGTAGGGAGATTATAGGTTATATTCTAAACAAATTGGTCATGCAATGATATTCAAGTCATACCAGCTTTTAAGCTTTATTTCATCTAAGAAGATGAGATTGATAAGAAGTGCAACAAAAGAAAATTTCTTTCAGGTTCGAATTACTACTCTCATTTCAAATTTACTTCAATATGATGTGTATAAAACCAAAAACATTAATTAACTATTTAAAATTTTCATTGCACAGATGTTGTTAACCAACTTATTCATTATTCGGGTTTATTGACATCTAACACTCTCTAGAGAATTGCTTGCACGAAGACTCCAACTAAAACTTCTTGAGTATGCACATAGAATACATTAGTTTGACTCTAATCGCAAATCTAAAATACAATTTGGTTGCAGGGGATTGGTTGTCAAGGTAACTTTCTTTGGTAGGATGGTTACTCAATTAAATGTTATCCTTGCAAATGCGGGTAACCGCCCTCTCATCCCGGTCATTATATCATTATATGTCGTTCTTTACAATGGGAATGAAATATCTTTATTACTTTATCATAATTAATCCAACAATTTGAAAATAAATTAATAAAATTTATTTAAACGATCGTCAAATTTGCAAGCGATAAAACCTTCTTCTCCTCTCGAGTGACTTTGCTCTAGGCGAATCCAAGAATTCCAGAAGTCGTTAATTTTGGGCCAAGGTGAAATTCATGACAATTTAATAACCTTATTTAGTCGCGCATTATAAGTTTGAAGTTTTCAAATAGAAAAAGGGATTAATTATCACTCATTATTTTGGTAAATTAGTGACAAAGGTGGACCAATTCTTCAAGTGAAAAGTACGAAAGCACTTCAACAACTAATTTAAACCCAACCACCGAAAAAGCTAAATCAATTAAAAATTAAGGATGGAGAAGAGGTAAGTATCAATTTTGATTTAACGACCTATTAACTATCGAATTCTAACATTTTATGTAATATGTAGGAAAATATGTATTCTGTCAAATACAAAGTTTTCAAAGTTAATATGGGTGGTGCTATGCTGGATGTGAAAACCTATCAATAAAAGTATTAGTTTCTAATGTTGTTTATGTCATTACTAACATTATACTTATCCAAGATCCACCTTCGAGTTCTGAACAAAACCACTGAGGCTAACTTTGTTGTTATGGATTGAGTGAGATATGTAATATTTGGAATGTCGGCTAAAAGGCTATTCCAAAATGACGGTATAATGAGAGGATTGCCACCTACTCATCTCTTACAAATTGTGGTAATGATATTGAAGTTTGAAATTAAGCTCACATATTGCATCGTCAATCCAACAAGTGAGTACACGATTTTCAGGATAGGAAAGGATGAGAAGAGCATAAATCAAACGATCTTCCTGACTTGATTGAGGTAAATTATACTTGCATGAAAATGATGATCAATATTAATTATAAAATTGTAATATTTTCCATTGGATTTGGAGTATATTTGCAACATGCACCCTCTAGTTATTATTTAAGTAACCTGCCTACCATGTCTACTTCTCATATGTTGATTTTACAATGCAATTACTTGCGTCTATAATCCACTAAATTAACTGCTATAAACTGTATACAACGTGTAAATTATACATAGTTATATAATCAAGTATATAGTTCTTCAATTATTATACCATGCATGGATGATACTCAATTATATTATTTTAACTCTAGATAAATGCAGTTTGTATAATTTAAAACTCCCGAGGAACTTTCCTTTATTACCCACTAGATGCATGCAATATATATCGGTTGTATTATCAAGTATATACGCCTTCAATTTCTATACCATGCACAAATATATGCTTTCAATTTTTAAACCATGCACAAATGACACTTAGTTGTATTCTTTAATGTATATGAAAATTCATGTCGTTTATCTACAAAACACTATAAGGCAATGTCAATAAAATCGTTTTGCCACGTCAGCTACTCCTGAACAAACCGCACAATGCGGGAGGGCCTTTTGGGTAAATCCATAGTTTTCTATTTCTCGCCATCCTCTCACCGAACCGCCCCAGCCATCCGTTCAGAGTTCAGACCCTTCGTCTCTCTCACCTTCCTCCCTCAAGAAATCCCTACCATCATGCGTTCTGCGTTGCCCTTTTCCCTTTGGCGTCGTCGCTTATGTGTTCCTCTTCAATCACGTCGCCGCTTCGTCCTCCCTACCTTCAATCCATTCCCATCGCCGCACCGTCAATCCCGAATTCCGATATTTATATGCAATCCGAAGTTCCTTCCTCTAATTCTACTAAATAGCAACAGTTTCTCACTCAACCCCGCTATCGGAAATCAATTTGCATTCAAGCATCGGTGAGTCCCCGCCGTCCCTTGGCTTTCCTTTTCCGCTGCTAATTTCTTCCTTCATGCAATTTTACTCAATAACATAGCTTCTTAGTGAGCCAAAAAATGCTCCAGGAATGATTTATGTGGTAAAATAAGCTTCCTTTTGAAATCAGCAGCTTTGGATTTGGTGATGAGGGTTCTGGGTGTCACGAATTTCAACCAATGGACTTGGTGTTGATCAATTCAGAGGTAAGCGTTCTTTAGAATTAATTCAAAACAAAATCTGACATCTTACTTAGGCTCTAGGTTCTTGTGGGTTCTTTGTGTTCTAGGGGAAAGATAGTTAAGCTATAATTTCTCATCGCTTGATTCGTAAATTTGAATCAAGAATGAGAGAGCAAGAAGTCTATGAGATTAGACATTTCAAAGTTTCTCTAAAATAGAACCAATTCAGGCACGTTTTCAATCTTTTGATGTTAGAGTTTGATTTAGCCACCTTGGTACAATTCAAATTGTCTGAAGCATACCCTCCATCAATTTCAACCTTTTCAAATACTCTGAAATAATGAAGAAGTTGTATGATGAGAAGAATCCATCAAGTAAGGTGGTATTTCCAGTGACGTTCATCGATAAATCGTACTTATTTTAAGGTTCTAATGTTCCCCTGTACACCAGATGTGACTGGGCAATCGATTCAGTATTTTCCAGTCACCTCAAAAACATCAAACAATGGAAAGATACCGCAATCAAACTAATTTTGTAACTTTAACTCACTTCTTCCCTTTTTCATTAATTTCGTTAGTGAACCATCACCAATCGATTTAATTGCTTACTTTGCTTTACTGTGGTTGGTTAATTGCTAACAGAGGGGAGATGGTAAAGATCACTTTGTGGGGAACCGTTGGAAACCAATTGGATGAAATTATATCTCACAGTGAAGGGCAACAATTCTTATGCCTATTGCTTCTGTGTTGTTTATGAATTTAAAGGCTTTAGTAAATCAAAATTCTTTTTGCCATCTTTCTTTGAAAATCTGAGAGTCGAAACTAATTATGTCATTACTTTTATTTAACGGGAGATTTGCATGTCATCAATAGGGCGCTATACTTTTGAAGGCAAAGATGGATATTCTAGAAGTTCGTCAATTTGATATTGGGGTTGCCATTCGTTTGTTACTTTGTTGCATGAAATCATACTATTAATTTGAATTATGATAAGAGGTCAAGACCATGTATGATTGTATTCTGGGGATAAAAATCTCAATGCACCTGTTTTGATTATTGATAAACTAGCTCTTAAGGTTCTAAACATTTACATAGCTCAGCTCAATGAATTCAAAAATATGGACGAGCGTATTGTAATATTTTTTCTATAGAATTTGGAATCAGTTGAACACTTCTGATTTATCTGTTATTAAGTTACTTGCTACGAATTTTCAGGAGAGAGTGTTTGCTGTAGAAGGCCAAGTGATTCAAGTACAATCTAACTGGTGTGACATGGGGTGTCTTGAATGCCCTCACAAAGTTGAAGAGGATTGGAGTACTTTCGCAGACACTATAAGAAAACTTCTTAAATTGCAAAAGTCAAGTAAGCCGATCAACTTATTCAGTTTTTCGACAAACTGCATCTTTCAAATTTAGTTTTTATTGTCTGATGTGTGTTATGAAATTGATTCACATGGAGATATTGGCATACAAACTCATGTCATTGTTGACTTTAATTCCATTAGTCATAGGTGAGAGTAAAACTCATGTCATTGTTGACTTTAATTCCATTAGTCATAGGTGAGAGTAAAACTCCATATGCAAGATAATTCTGCTGAAGCTTATTTGCAATTTTGGAGAGTGAAGGTCCCCATTTCTTTGGTGTAATGACTGGAGTTTTCTTTTTGACAGAGACCTGTTACAAGGTGCTACTAATTACAAGCAAATTAGAGGAAGAAAAAATCAAATCCTTCACAAGTCCAGCAAGTTGTTAACATGAAACTGAAATTGCATGTTAAACTTACTCAGTGTTGAACCCTCAAACTGAGTATTATATAGTTAGCGTGGAGCACGATTCACTTGGGGTAAGTGATTAACATTTGAGCGCTAAAGCAATTTTATTACCTATTAGTTACAACCTTAGTTTCATCATTTTCATTTCTTTGATTACTCTAATTTCACTACAGCCAATGAGTCAGACATCAAGCCAATCCCTCACAAGTGCAATACCTATCTCGAAGATAACTTCCTAGACTTCTCATGACCACAACCAAAGAGATGAAGCAGATTTGGTTGCTGCAAACTTGGAGGAAACTAGCAACATTGTTGCAAGCCATGAAGATCTTGGAGAGGGTGCTTAAGGAGATTTAAAAGGGAACATTGGGTCGACTCTAACACCAAGGAAGAAAAGTACTATTGTTGGGATCATTATGTAGTTAAGATCCACGTCATGAACCTTATAGTTTTAGAGTGTGTTTTTCACCTATGAGATGTTCGTGAATTGCTTAGTGTTCATAAAATTTAGATTCTTAGATTATCCATAATTTTATTTATCATTTTCATAGACAATTGGAATTTCAAGTTAACAATAATAATTTATTTGTGTTACCATCTCTTTTTTCCATTTGCATGAAAAGTTTTAAGTCCTCTCCTTCTAAACAAAAATTAATTGCAATAGACATAACTAAAATGAGGTTTATAGAGAAGAGCATCACGATAAAAACATTAGTTAAATGCACCATCAGCAGATAACTTTTCACCTGTTTGCCAAACCCGTACTTTCCAATGTTGGACCAATACTTACTGACGGAATTGTCGAAGTTACAAATTCAAATTGTTTGAGTCGTATGTATTGTTTTAGGATTTTATACTACATTAGCCAATATAATACAACAGAGTACACATTCCAATTTTATACTACACCGGCCAACGGGCCGGGCCCATTGCTAGTAACATAATACTCCAGTGGAACTTTGTTTCCTCTCACACTAACATGTAAGCAATTGTATCCAACTACAATTTTAACTCAAACATATTAAACCCCTGTGATTCTAGATAATCACAATATATATTTTTCTTTTGAATGTGAATGATCTTAATTTATAATGATAATGCAAGAGAACATGAATTACACTGTTAATGATGAATGTACTGGATCGGTGCTAGAGATGACAATGATCTTGAGATGAAGAAATACATTTTTCATGAGGAAGATACAAGTACCAGTGATGAGGAGAAAGAACAATTTTTTAGGTATTGTTCATAATTTGGACGAGGTAAATTCTACTCCAATGAAAAAGATAATTGGTATTTGTAAATATTTTACCATCAAATTTTGTGTTCAATAAAATGCATGAAAACAAGGAAGAGATTACTGAAATGCAAGGGAAGAAGGTAGAGGAAATTGACAATGAAGATAAATGTATCGCTAATGAAGATGACATTATTATCGGTGCAGATGATGATGTTGCTCATGACGGAGGAAGTGCAAATAAGTCAACATGAAAATGTGCAGTAATCTCTCACCACGAGGAGTAAATAGAATGGTGATTTTAAAATGACTTTAGGAGTCGGTATGAGTTTGCCTTTCATTTCCGTAAAAAGATTTTAGTCAATGAGTGAGTTATAATGTCGAAAAACACTATGATATTGATCATTTTGAATTGTTGAAGTGCTTTAATAATTTGAGTTCTCTTATTCTACCAATCAATTTCAATATTTTGAGTATTTGAATACTATCTATTTTTTAAACTATCAAAACCGCATGTATCTCACCTGCAATTTTATAATATTGTTTTAGTGGTAGACAAACAAGCAAACGCGGTAATAATAATAAAGAATATTAAAATCCAACCACCTTTCTTGTAATGTTATCGTATAATAACAGCCCTCTTATTTTATTTATATATAAATATAAAATTGATTGACTCTTCCCACGTCATGCCATTTCTGGCAAATTTCCCTAACCTACTCGGAAATTTCCACAGCTACGAGGAGAAAGATTAGAAGAAGAAGAAGAATCAATTCAATTCAAATCCAACCACCTCTTCTTCTTCCTCTTCCTACGCGTGCCACTACTATATATCTGCTCCAAGTCTAAGGTTTTCAAGATCGAAATTCCTGACGACACTGGTAGATAATCTACCTCGCCGGCGCATAACGCGGCATTCTTTAACTACCCGGCGGGAAGGGAATAATCCCACGGCGTGATCAGGAATCGGAATCGCACGAATTGCATTGCTTCATCTTCTCTCTCTCTCTTTCTTGTTCGTCGCCTGTCAAGTTTTTTTTATCAGGGTTTTTCCTGAGAAAGAAATTAAAAGAAAAAGCAACCATGGGAGGGTGCATGTCTGGCGATGTGAAAGGCGGGAAGCAAGCGATTGGCGGAACGTACTTGGCGCCGACCCCCCGCGACGGCGGCGGCGGCGGCCATAACGACGCCGTTGATTTCTTCTTTAGGGCTCGTGGCGCCCATCCCCTTTTCTCCCAAATCGAGGTAAATCAGCCCATGTATTCTTTAATAAATTGATTGGCCCCAAGTAAACCAAGGTTTTGGTTTCTAAGTTCTAACATGGGAGGGGTAACTGTTGGTGATTGAGACCATTCTGCAACAATGGAGCAAGTTTTTTGGCTGGATAGAAAAGGCGAGGGAGAAAGGCTAGAACTAGCTTTAACGTGGAATCAGGGGTGAAGAAACAGACTCTTTTTCTTTTGTATCTGATGGGTTTTGCCTTTCGAATGGTGTTTAACTGTTCAGAGAATGCGAGATTTGAGATATCGGGGAAGCCATGTTTGAACTCTTCTGGGAAACCATGGACCCTTCTGTTCATAAGGGTTTTGTTCCTTATGAGATTGAAGGATAATACCGAACCTTTGTCAAGGGAAGAACTGCAGCTGAGAAGAACCTCTGCTTGTTCTTCCAAATTCTTTGCCACGCAAGTTGATGGTTTGTTCATTGATATAAAGGGATTAGTTTGTACCTGTTTCGTTGATATGACAAACAAGAGGGCCCCTTTTTTTTGGAACTTTTTGGTGAAGTTGACGCGACTTGTGAGAATTTGTTTTTGTCCCCTGCCTTTAACCTTGATCCTCCTTGATTATTGCTAGCTCTCGACAAAAGGAATCCAAGATTCTCAGGTTGTGGATGATGATTAAGCTCAGAACAGGACAGAAACAGTGGAAATTAAAGTATTATTAGCTCTAAAGTTTTTTCGAGAGAGGAGCTAAACAATTAACAAAATATTAGGGACCATCTATATAACATGATTAATATAAGTGGACTCTGAATTTGGGGTCTTCTCTAGGTCAATGTGGTAGCTATTGCTCTGCTTTGCCTGCATGTGCATGTCTGCACGTATTTGTGCATGTCCATCTGTCTAGGTAAGCTTTGGCAGAGCTTCTGCTAAACTCATTTAGGTGAGCTTATTTTGCATACTACCTCTGTGTTATTGTTAGATATATTTACTTAAGCAGTTTTTATGTGCCACTGCAGTTGTCATTATCAGCGTCAAAGTTACTCGATCGGGATATAACCTCCAAGGTGCCTTTTCTTTAATCCAGAAATCATTATGTTACCTTGACTTCTTGTACTGGCTCCTGCTTGCTCATAATTCCAAGTCTTTGCTAACTTGAATGAGATTTCTACGTGCTTCTTCTTCCAGAGCGACCCCATGGCTGTTGTGTATGCCAAAAAAAGTGATGGGAAATTGGAGGAAGTTGGTCGTACAGAAGTCATCCTGAATAGCTTGAATCCTTCATGGATTTCAAAGGTCACGATTGCTTATCAGTTTGAGATGTTGCAACCGCTAGTGTAAGTTTAAATTATCCTGTTCATTCGAGTGACCGTGGTTTTCTAGTCATTCTTCAACTCTCTGGATTCGATCTAGTGTCTTCCACTGTCTTGTTCCTCATTTCTGCTCCTTCCAATCTTCACAGCATACACATATTCGACGTGGATACCAGTTACCATAACACACATGTAAAGGTATTTTTGATGTACCCTGCCTTTATATATGTACCCGCTACAGATATGATTCTTAAAGCAGCTTCTGATTTTCCTCCTTTTTGCTTCCATGCTAATATCTTCTCATGTCGCAGTCACTGAATTTGAACGATCAGGACTTCTTAGGAGAAGCCAATTGCTTTCTCTCTGAGGTAAGTTTCCATTGATTCAATATTGTTGTAGAGCTTTTTACTTCTTAGTCATCTAAGATTTTCTTATCCCTGTCAGACTTACAGATCTCCTATATAATCTGTTGCCTGATTTTCTGCAGATAGTGACCAGACAAAACCGTACATTAACTTTAACTCTCAAGAGCAGAAGTGGGCATGACACAGCCAGAAACTTAGGCACAGTCAGTATTCATGCTGAAGAAACAGTTGCTTCCAAGACTGCAGTTGATATTTCATTCCGTTGCTCCCACTTGGATAACAAAGACATGTTTTCTCTAAGTGTATGATTGATTAAGTTGCCATTAAGCTATAATTACTTCCTCTAGGTTTCTGGCATTATTAGTTCTCTTCTTATACTCATCTTCCTTTCTCTATGCAGGATCCTTTCTTGAGAATATCAAGAATAGTAGAGGGCGGAGGTTCGATACCAATATGCAAGACCGAGGTTATTAACAACAATCTGAATCCCGTCTGGAAACCACAGTGTCTTACGATGCAGCAGCTCGGAAGCAAGGTAATTAATTAAATTTGCTAATCTCTACAGTGATTTTTCTTTGAATGAACAGCTATAGGCTTCCTGTTGTAGTGAGATCCATTGATACTTTTGTTGCAGGACAATCCATTGGTTATTGAATGTCTCGATTTCAACAGCAATGGAAATCATGTCCTTATTGGGTATGTATTAGAAAACTTGTCAACTTCCAGTCTTCCTTTTGTTTCCTTTCATTTTCTCTGATGCGGTCATGTGTTCTATGGTTCTTCAGTAAGATCCAGAAATCTATCTCGGACCTGGAAATCCTTCACAGAGAGAAAGCCTGTGTCAATTTAACAATGCCATCTCATCGCGGTCCCGATAAGGTTTTGAAGGGGCAGCTATTTGTGGATAATTTTTTGGAAAAAGAACAGCACAGTTTTCTGGATTACATTTCAGGTGGCTATGAGCTCAATTTCATGGTTGCAGTTGATTTCACAGGTATAAATACGATCCCTTACTGGAGTCATTATGCGTTCTTCTCTTGTTTCTCCCCATCCATTCATGATTATATTTTTCGGATTGGTTTCAGCTTCAAATGGAGATCCAAGGCTATCAGATTCCTTACACTACATCGACCCCTTTGGCCGCTTGAACTCTTACCAAAAGGTGGCTGCTCCTGACTTCTCTTGTGAACGGAAGTGTGCATAGTTTTTTTTTTCAACTGTATTGATCTCAATCTTGCTTTTTTTATGAGTCTTCACTTAATCCTGTTATTTGCAGGCCATAATGGAAGTAGGGGAGGTCATACAATTCTATGATTCTGATAAGCATTTCCCTGCTTGGGGTTTCGGTGGGAGGACACCAGATGGTGCAGTATCACATTGTTTTAACTTGAATGGAAGTCCAACTGGCTTTGAGGTGAATTTCTTAGTCTGAGTCAGTCTGCTTCAGATGATCCTATATTGCTTAGTAAACCTAGTCAAAGAACATAGAACATATTGGCGCTCTTTTTCTTTTGGAACAGGTTAATGGTGTTGAAGGGATCATGTCTGCATATACAGCTGCTCTGCACAATGTTACTCTCGCAGGACCAACATTGTTTGGCCGGGTGATCAACAATGCTGCACAAATTGCAGGTCAATCACTCTCACACGACCACCGGAAGTACTATGTGTTGCTTATCATCACGGTAAGCTCCACTTTCAGGCTCTTACTTCTTCAATTCGCCTTTGGTCGTGAACTTATCAATCAGTTTGTCCTTTCTTACAGGACGGAGTCCTAACAGATTTCCAAGAAACAAAGGATGCAATTGTGAAAGCATCTGATCTTCCATTGTCGATTCTCATTGTTGGAGTAGGAAATGCAGATTTCACGCAGATGGAGGTATAGTATGCCCTTTATAAACTTTGTTGTAGAGAATGCAGAAGAAAGCTTACCGTCGAAAACTCATTTTTGGTCTTTGGTGAAACCAAGCCCAAAATCCGAATTTCGGTTCAGCAAAACAAAAACAGTGGTTTTGATTTTGGTTGACCGGAACCATTAGCACCCTACTTATCGACTTGTAATCTTTTGCTTGTTTCTGCAGATCCTTGATGGTGATAATGGTCGTCGTCTAGAGAGTTCCACTGGGCGAGTGGCTACCAGAGACATCGTACAATTCGTTCCCATGCGAGAAGTTCACAGTGAGTAGTCTCATTACCAGAGGCTCCATTTAGTCATTTACTTCATATCTAGAATCTTTGGCTTGAAATGCTGCTGGGCTAAGTTAGGTGCTTAATATTGATTTTGGTGTGGATTAGGTGGGCGGCTCTCTGCTGTTCAAGCTCTTCTGGAAGAACTGCCAGGCCAGTTCCTTACCTATGTACGGGCTAGAGATCTGAAACCGGGCCCTCGGCCGCAGCTCGCTTGATAGAGGAAGGGGTCATTCTAGTTGCAGACGTTGCCAACGAGCCATAGATAAGGAACATAGCTTTAACATGACCAAGTGTTAATATTAGTAAGTGAGAGTTTGGGTATACGCCAGGAATCTGTTTCTAGTAGTACCTGCGTTATTCTACAAACAGCAATATTTTTTAGTAAATATTTGGCAACGAAGGGAACGAATGACTAATGAGCATATCCCTATTCTACAAAGGCTATATGATTTATATCTTGATTGTTCTCCCTTAGTTAGAATTTCAACTAAACAAGTTCAAATACATGATGTCAAAGGCTTTGAGACCATAACTGGCAAGGTCTGGTCCAGAGTCGAACAAAAGATGTGGACCTGAATTGGTTTAAAAGCATACTAAATATAATACAGTCAGACCTGGTTGCAACTCAGTGACAGTAAGCATTTTTTCCTTCGTTTTCTTAAAAGGAACCAGAATTGAAACTCAATCAAATTTTATTTGGTACAATTCAATCGATTCAGAGTAATCTGGAAAGAAAATAATGAAGGCATGAGAACTATGTTACTTACCAGTTCCGACACAAGATTTTTAGGCAGCATGACCGGCTGAAATACATTATACATCTAAAAGAAGTGTTTTCCCCTTATAACGAAAACTTGTATAGCCAAAGGCCAAGAACAAAATCCATGAACAAAGCAATGTTTGCATGGCTGGCTCTCAACAGCTTCCTTCATGCATTTCTTTCAAGGCTGCAATTTCTCCCATTTCCAGATGGTCATATGAGCGAGGAATGGGGCAGGGAGACAGAGCTCTCCTTGTGTGTATAAGTCAGCCAGCCTTTGTTTTCGTCTGAGAAAACGACGGTCTTGATGAGAATGGAAAGATGACCTCACCGAGATTGCTGAAGCATCCCTTGTTGTATGTGTTTTGCTTGGCAATGGCCTCAACGGCATCTTCAAGTGGGGATTTTCGGAAAAAGGCTCTCCATTTGCTTTCCGGGGGCTTTGCTTCCGTGCGTAAGTCGCTGATGCTTGCTTTCAGCGCCGCAGCGCTTGCTCGAGCTTCATTTAGCTTCTTTTGCCAGGTTAGGTGCTCCTGCCACTTGAAAGTCTGCAATTACACATAAATGCGATCAAGAACCCTATGCAAATACAAAGACCTATTTGTTAGACTCTACTACACAGACAAATTTGTTTAAACAACGAAGTATAAGCAGTAAATTAAAATTAGTCTATACTACTACTAATGTAGGTTGGGAAGATCATACCTCATTTGTTGTGGTGTTGGTGAGACAAAGGTTGACATGGTAGCCAAAGAATCCGGCTAATAAGAGAGAAACTATGGCGAGAAAGATCATGAGAAGTATTTGAGTGTTGTAGGATCTCAACAGCCACTGCAAGAACTCAAATGAATAGTGTTGTCAGAGGATTGAATGGAAGATGTGCAACTCAAGGAAATGAAACAATGACACCAGAATTTGCAAGACATACTTGTACAACATGAGGAGCCAAATCGCGAAATGTATTCTCGATTCCATAGTAAACTGAAAATTTGAGATAAAGATGATGCCTTAAAACTCGGAGAGTGCATACTCTTTCAATACATGTAGTTTTATTGCAGGTTTTATTATTACCAGTTAAAATATAAACAACTCTCAGTTCTTTCAATCGCCCTGCAAGAACCAACGCTACAGCAACACTTCCATAAAGACACAAAAGCAAATGCCTGCAAACAAAAAGGCAGCTGCATATGAAACTAACCAACAATGTGCAATCCATGGACTAAGCCAATGGAAGTTGCAGACGAATGAGTTACTAGAGGCTAATGGTTCCTTTCAACTGAACCATATGGATAAGAATGACAAGCACGAGCTTAAGGACACTTCGTTTGTGAAGCTCGCATAGATAACTCACCACAAAAGAAAACCCAAGAAGTACCGGTTATTTCTCTCCCCTATACAGTTATTCTGCAACAACAAACCTCTTTAAGCAGAACCGAAAATTGTTGGAGTTTAGAAACTTTGCCAAATGAATAACTAGCTCAAGAGTAGGAAATAATGCAGTCATAGAACACGAACCATCCAACCACAATGATGGTCAAACCGGGCAACACATCGGTTGCATATGCTGCAGTGCTTTGATCTAGCAGGTCTGCAAAACAGGATGACGGCACATCAACTCATTGCACTCTTAACTATTAGAGAAAGATACTATAATACAGCAGTCAGGAAAGAAACTCACTTTGGAATTTTACATGTGGTACATTCTTTCTCCTTGTATAGGACTTCGTCATAAGGATATGCATTCAGATATTGCAAGACGTTTTCAGCCTTCACTATCCCGGGATCAGAAAAGCTTGTTAAAATGAAAAACAGAATACCAACAACAACTCCCATCAAGCTTATATATCTATGCCAAAATAGAAGATCGATTCAAGTCAGACTCGGGATGTTAGCTGGAGGATAAGTTTGCACTTTGCATAACTAAATATTCAGGACTACGCTTGTACCTGTGAGCTCCACTTAGATAGTAACCAGGCATGTAGCTAAAACACGAATTTGCAATCATGTAATAAATTCCTCCAATTATTGCCACATACAAAATCTGCAGCAGAAGACGTCAAAGTCTAGCATAAGACATCCTTTCATATTGCAATAGTGGAATATATATCTTGATAGATGGCACACAACAGAGGCAAATACATGTTCAATCGGAACAAGCAGTCAATACTGTTCTTCACGAAATAATTATTCTAGCCTGCTTTGACAAGAATGCACAGAGGCACTATATCTTGTGTTTGAATCAACCGCTAAAATTGAGGGTTTTACACTTAAAAAGATTAGAAGACATGACCTTTCGGTCATCAAAGATTTTGATACCTTGACGAGAACTAGTTTATCCTAATACCGAGTTCAAGTTGCTGTACTGACCTTCCATGTGCGAATTAGTTATTCTCCTCAATCCTTTTATAAGCTCTAAACTTTCGCATACTTCAATACCATCGCATAAAAATTAAGGCCTAGTTCTAGCTTATGTATGCATAGATTCAGAAGGCAACCCTCTTCTCACGCAACTTGATCTGCCCCCCTAATTAACTTCGAAAGGGGCAAATTTTGAAGGAGAGTCGATTTTCCGGAAATTTCTCAACTACTAGAAACTGCAACTCCATTGATAAACATAACAAATAGCTCGTGGTCAATGCAAATCAACTTCCGAATGCAAACATCCAAACCCGAAAACCAAAAGCAACCATTTCGTTTTTCACAAAATCATCGACCACCAAATCACCTGAAGAATAGGATTAGGGCGATCGCAGCAGAAATACTCGATGGAGAGGATGAAGTTGGTGCCTTTGCTCCCAAACACAGCCCCAACAAGCCTCCTGCGAGAAACGGAAACCAACCCATCAGAACAAGAGCAGGGAATACGGCGAGATAATATAAGTTGGAGGCGCGTACTGGAAGTAATCGTAAGCGCCGAAAGTGAGGAAGTAGTGGATTCGTTCGACGAAAGTCCCCTGAAAGATTGGCCATTGACCGCAAAGAAACGAGATCACAACCAGCAGGGTGATCAGACCATGGCAGACCAGTAACCACTGCATCCCCATCAAGAAGAATTTACGCGCCGCTTGATGGAAGAAGGACGGCGATGGCGGGAATTTCTCGGCCTTGGATTTACAGTCGGGCCGGCCGGCGTTGAAGGAATTTGGGGAATTATGCTTTAGCTTCCAGCTTCCAAATTATCAAAGCAGTTAAAACTTGAGAGTTGGAACTCCCATCCCGTGCCTTTGTTTTGGAATTGGACAAATTTCCTTTGCATGCTGAAAATGTTTTGTGATTCCACTTTTAATCCCCAAGTCCCTTTAGAGTTTAGATCAAAGTTGTCAACTCGCGGGGTCACTTTGATCCTGACTCAGTGAAAAAAACCGGTAGCACACAACCGTCGGATCGACGGTTGTAAGTAGGGCTGCAAATGAGCCGAGTTTTACACCAGTTTGAGCTTGGCTCGTTAATAAACGAGTTGAGCTCGAGCTCGAGCCGTTTATTAACGAGCCGAGTCGAGTCGAGTTCGAGCTAAACTTGTTTACTAAAATCTTGACTCGTATTTGATACTTCATTTTGAATGTCAAGTATGATACATGTGATGGATGTCATGATGAAGAAAAAAATAATAGTCAAATGTTTAATATTAACTAATCTCATATTATACTTTGTTGGTATCATATTATGTAGTTAATAAATTTTAACTAGTCCAAATCATGTTATTTAACAGTATCGAAGCAACCTGTGATATAAAATTTCTTTGTAAAATAAAAATATTATATATTTGCTCCAAACTCAGCGTGTTAAACTTCACTTATGGTGAGATATATAATTTAACAATCGTATGAATTAAACTCATAAGATATAGATCAATTTGCACACAAGTCAGTAACCGAGTTGGCTCTCTAGCCACAATGTGAGACACCTCATGAGCTCTAAACGAGCCAACTCACGAGTTTGGCTCAACAAACCACTGAATCGAGCTAGCTCACGAGCTTCATGAGCTTAACAAGGCTTAACTCATGCTCGGCTCGTTAATAAACGAGCCAAGTTTCGAGCGAGCTTTTTCCGAGTCAAACGCCGAGCCGCTCACGAGCATCTCGGCTCATTTGCAGCCCTAACAGCAAGGTACTGGATTAGAAGTCAAACTGTATTGTTTTTTTTTCCTTTGTTTTGCGAAATGTGCATTTTTGGGTTTTCTTTTTTGCCCAACCCAATCTTTTTAATTCTAAGTTCAAAATTTGAATATTGATGTTATATAAGTGTGTGAATTTTCACTATAAGTTAGATACAAGCACGACAAGTTATCTTGGTGTATTGTTATAAGTTATTATTCATATGTTTGATAAAATTTGATATAATTTATAAATGTATGAACAATATAATGAGTATTTGCATATATCCGGGCTAACGCGAGCTAAAGCGGTCGACCCATTAACCCTCAAGCCACTTGCTCGACCGGGCCAATGGACTAAACCGGGTTGACAACCTTGCTTTAGATTGTTCCATGCTTGTCCTTTTTATCGAGACAGTACTTGACCCAGTTTATACCTTTATATTGGTTTGGCAAGTGGTATGATCTAAATGATTATACAACTAGATTCATATAAGTTTTTAGGGGTGATACTCGATGCGGTTACGATTTAACTACACCGCAAAGGCGGTTGCCTGAGGAGGACATGCCATTCAGCAAGTGGATTCTAAAATTGCGGAGGCTTGGTTTGATCAAGCCAGCTCATGTTCCGCTTTAATTGGCGAACAACCCAACCCTTGGAACATACTACAACCCCAGGTGGCGAAGAGTCGACATCGAGGTGCTAAACCTTCTCGTCGATGTGAGCTCTTAGGGAAGATCAGCCTAGCCAAAAACCGCAACCGGCAACGTCGGTTCAATGAGACAGTTAGCTTACAACCAGCAAGAGGAAGGCTGAATGGTCCTTGGCGACTGCGAAGCGCAGATTCAGAATGGGTGGTTGGGTGATGATTTTCAATGAACCTTCGATGTCGTCGAGAAGGAACAACCAGAACATACATGGGGCTGGAGGAGCCGAGGAGGTGTTGGATCTACTTTCGCCTACTCCTTTAGGCTTCCGCTGCTCTCACTATGCGCCAACCTCTTTAAACAGGCACACATGAGGAAGAGAAGAAGAAGGGGGTTGAAGTGACAAGGACGAGTCATGGCTGTGAGGGCGACGACAGAGATGTTGAGGATGGCGGACGACGAGTTCGGGAGGGAGAAGTCTGGATGGTTGATCGGTGGTTGATTTGAGGGTTGGGTGTGAGAATTTGACGATGGTTGGGCGGCGACGACGAGGATGATTCTGGAGCGACGAGGGAGGGGGATTAGGGGGGAAAGAAGTGGAAGTGGTTATGCGGTTCACCGTTCCATTTATTGGTTATAAACCGACAACCGATCGGTCACCGATACTCTCCATTCACCCAATTGACACCTCCAACAGACCATATATAGCAGTTAGCGGTTAGCCGACTAACCGACAATTTCATTTTGGTTAGTCGATTAATCGCATAACCGACAACCAATTATCAGCCCTACCAGTTTACGTTGTACGCCTCTGTTCACACTTGGTTTTTGCACTTCCATATATTTCGCTAAATAAGAACCATCGGTTAGTATTTTTTTTTATTAAATGAATCTTGTGGTTTGGGTTAGAGAATTAGGGATTGTGGTTCATCCATTAGAGGTTAGGGTATAGTATCATACCTCAAACTCCGATTAAGTCGTCCTCTAAATAGTAAATTCGACGGGCATACAATGTACGCCTGACGTACGCTAGCCTCAACCATATAGTATTCTTGAAGACAATCTCTTTAAAATCTACCTCCATATTTAAATAAAATACAATAATCCAAACAAAATGAAAAATCTTCATGTTTTAAATAAGACAAATGCAAACATACAAAAGTGTATATTTGAATCGAACAAATAACATAAATATCTAAGCATTCATATTTGAATCAAACAAGTTACATCGATATTTAATTTCAAATTCAGGAAACAAATCAAATTTCTTATTAAATTCACCAAAATGACATTATTTTATTTAAAGGTCCGAAATTGATTGTAACGCCCGTCAAACTTTACCATCATGATTTATTACATATCATCGAACCATGTAAGTTCACAAATCTTTACTTAAACCAAGTTACAAACTCGATGCATATTGAAACATGTGTAAAGGAAAGTCCCTTTTTCTTTCTCCCAAAACCCAGTTTTGATAACTTGATACTTACTCCCCCATAGCTACTCCAGATATAATGATAGGACATTCTGAATATGCTTGATTAATTTCTATTGTATTTCCCAACGAAGTTTTCACTAATAAGTTTTTGGTCAACCCCTCGGGTGTTGAATGTAAGTACTTTGAAAATGAGTGAGATACAAAAGAATGAGTGATACTCAGACCAATCAGAACTTAAGCAGGGTTATTATGAATAGAAACCATACCAGTAACAATTCTAGGGAAATATCAGTTTTGTTCCTCTTCATTGCGAAAGCACAAGGTTGAATTTCATTTCTTACTCCAAGTCCACTAGTAGCACTCCTTACTCCCGTATTTCTGCTCTTGTCTCTACTTTCACCTCCACTTGCATTTCCTCTTGGTAGATTTTTAGTACCCTTATTGGGCCAAGAAATACACGAGGAGACCAAGGGCGAGATCAGGAGGCTCGCCTTGATGCTGCCGTCCAGCCCAACGTGCACGTCGTTTGGTCTCATGATCCCATAAGACTAAGGAGAGATGTTTCTCCTAACTATGCCCTAGTTTCTATAGAGAATGGGTATAATATTCTTGTACATTGGACACTGGCCGCCAAGGTCATTGATATCAATCAATAAGAGAAAAGCTGAGGGTGCTTAACCCTCCGTAAATTAGTATCAATCATCAAAACCATCGAGGATACCACGTAAATATCGTGCATCTCGTTTGCTATTTTGTACTATTTATCATGGTATCAAAGTTGTGAGTTCCAGCTTTGTTGACCAGTTTGATTCGTCGGCGTCATGATCAAGAACACATACGGGTCGTTAGATAGCAAAGCGTCGTAGACTGATGGCGGCGTAGGGAATGATCTCCCTTCTGAATATCAACTCCACAATTCGGACAGCCGGGGAACATGCTTGTTGGAGAGGTTCTGAAGGCCTAGAATTATGGAGAATGGGCACTCGACATGAGGGATGCCTTACTGGCAAAGAACAAATATGGTTTCGTTGATGGAACTATTGAGAAGCCGGTTTCTCCTATTGAACAGCGGGCTTGGGTGCACTGTGACGCCATAGTGAAGAGGTGGTTAAAGACCTCTATGGACAAAGAAATCAGAAGTAGCATTCGGTTTGCTGAAAGTGTTCGAGTGATATGGACGGATTTGAGCGAGAGATTTGGATAAGGGAGTGCCTTGCGAGCGTACGAGTTGCAGCGCTTGTTCAACACCTTGCAACAAGAAAAGAACATTGTATCCACCTTCTATACCAAGCTTAGAGCTCTCTGGGAAGAAACATCAGCCATATTTCCAGTTCCACAATGCACTTGTGGGCTGTGCACTTGTGACATATCACGCAAGCTACGAGAGCAACAAGAAAATTCCAGGTTGTTCGATTTTCTAATGGGCTTGGACGAACCTTTTGCAGCTGTTCGTACATAGATTTTGGCAATGAAGCCTATCCCCTCGCTACCCGAGGCCTTTAACATAGCTACCAATGAGGAGCAACAAAAGCTGATCGCACAGCAGCGATGACCAAAGACTGAGGCTGCTGTCTTCCCGGCTCGCGGGGAGAATGAGCGCAAGGCACGTAGCACGGGGGAACGAGAGAAGCCACGTTGCACACATTGTCAGAAAGTGGGTCATACACGTGAGCCGTGTTATGAATTAGTTGGCTATCCACCTCGAAATCGTGAACGACCAGGGGACAAACAACCGAAACATCATGGGAATGGCAATGAGATGGCGTGGTGTGATCCGAAGGCCTCACAGGCAGAGGTAGAGCAAAGTCCGATGGCTGGGTTTACTGTTCAGCAGTTGGAACAACTCAAGAAGTTATTTGCGGGTT